TGGGGGTGACCCTAGCCTTTCACACCCCTTACCACCCACAAAGTAGTGGGAAAGTGGAACGCATGAACGGCACCTTAAAAGCCAGAATGCTTAAAATGTCACAAGAAACAAAGATGCCCTGGCCAGAAAGTCTACCAATAGCTCTATTTAGTGTTAGGCACACACCTAGAGGGAAGCATTCACTATCCCCATACGAGATTCTATTTGGGACCGCACCCAGACTAGGTTGTTATTATCCACAACAGTTACAGCTTCAATCTGATGTTTTAGTAGACTATGTAATTGAACTTGCAAGTGCCTTGAACAAAATACATGCCCAAGTTTTCTCTTCAATTCCAGATCCCGATTTGGATACAGGTACCCATAGCCTGCTTCCTGGAGATTGGGTTCTGGTCAAGAAGTTTGTGCGGAAACATACCTTGGAACCAAGATTTGACGGGCCATTCCAAGTTCTCCTAATCACCGCAACCTCCGTCAAATTGGCCGGCCGGCCACATTGGATCCACGCTTCCCATTGTAAGAAAGTACTTGCCCCAGAGGAAGCTAGTACCGCACCACCATGTACCTCTGGTACAGTATCTTCTTAATCAGCTTAATTAAAGCTCAACAAGTAGCCATCACTAAAGATGCTAGTGGGTACACCTTCTGGTATAATTCATCATGTACCCGTGTGGCTACTTATACTTTTGACTACTGTGACATCGTAGAATGCCCATTCCCCACGTCACAGATTCAGAATATCTATAGAGATATCCCTCATTCAAAAGACCCCTATGTTTGTGTAGTTGACAAACAATGGGGGCACAACTGTAACCATTGGGGGGCGGCGGGATGGAATGCCGGGCCTGCCTGGGGTTACAAACCAAAAAGTGCCTTATCTAAAATTGATGATCACGGTAGGTCCCTCCTCCAGAGAATGACTCTAAGAAAGCCCGGAGGAGGCATACCTATGAAATTAATCTTAAACATTGAGCATCCCAGCCCAACGGATGCAGACCAGTATATAATGGGAATGTACTGGAAGAAGGGTTCCTATAATAAATTAGGACATTTCCACCTTAAAGATATGTGCCACTCTCCTGAGTGGAAAGGGACCACCCACATGGTCTCAAATCCGTTGAAACCACACATCCAATCTTTTAAAGACATGATGGCCATTGCAAATCCAACATTTGAAGATACCATGGCCGCTGAAACAGGTTTCAATGATGTTAATCTATGGTTAGAATGGATGAAATATAATGCCAACAAACATAACAGAACCGCATGCTATGTGTGTGGTGGTGCCCGGCCGCACCTGGGCACTGTGCCTTTAACTTTGCCAGTAGATATAGAAGAATGTGTTCTGAGTCTTTTTGCCTATCACTACAATTTCAATAGGTCCATATGTAAAGCATGGACAGTAGAGTATCCTCTTCTAGTCAAAGATTGCAAACCCCCAGATGGTGTTACCGTCTATAAAGGTAATTATACCTGTTATGCTAATTATGATGGAATTGGTAAATTTGTGGGTAACTTCTCTAAAGGTTATTGTGCCACCTACAGAACTGTCTCTATGAACCTCCTACAATTCCACACTAGATCATTGGGGGATATTTACTGGTTGTGTGGGGATCTACAGCTGAGATCAAGAATGGATAAAGAATGGTGGGGGGAGTGTACTCTGGCTAAAGCAATCATGCCCATACATATTATCTCTGACACACACCCCGATACTCATGAGTCCAAACACTCACCAACCAAGGTAAAGCGTGAAGCCCCAGTAAAAGGCAGTTTTGACCCTCATATTTACATTGATGCCATTGGGGTACCTAGGGGGGTGCCCAATGAGTTTAAAGCCAGGGATGAAGTTGCTGCAGGATTTGAATCACTTTTTACCATAGTCACTGCAAACAAGAATTTAAATTGGATAAATTACATCTACTACAACCAACAACGGTTTGTTAATTACACCAGGGATGCCCTTCAGGGTTTGGCCGAACAGCTGCAGGCTACGTCCCAAATGTCATTCCAGAATAGAATGGCTTTAGATATGATTCTAGCCGAAAAAGGAGGGGTATGTAAAATTCTGCCTGACACCATGACATGTTGTACTTACATCCCAGAAAACACAGGCCCCAATGGTAAAGTAACCTTAGCTATAGAAAAATTGAAAGAGCTCTCTGAGGAGCTAAAGAGGAACTCTGGGATAAAAGATCCCTGGGAGAGATGGTTTGGTTGGATGACAGGATGGCAAAAAGCTTTGATGCATATTGGTATAGCAATACTAATTTTCCTTTTTATCTTTGCTCTTCTCGTTTGTTGTGTCCTCCCTTGTCTGAGAAAGCTCCTCTTGAAGACTGTAGACCAAGCGGCACCCACTTACGCACACCTCACAGTTGATGACCAAGATTTCCAAAAAGTCAACTCGCCCTGTATACCGCTACAATCTATCCCGTTTATTGATAAAGTGCAAGAGTTCTAGGAAGGGACCAGCTTAGGGACAGCATCTGTCTGTCTGGGAAGTCTACCGTGCGGAGATGTGGTGGGTTAGCCACCTCGGGATACCCATGGAGTGAAGTGTTCGAGTGCCCAGCGGACAGATGAGTTAGCCAATTAGGGACAGACGAAGGGACAGCTTTGCACTTTGCAATAACACCTAGCTAGCGGGTCACGGGGTTTCTGTGCCTTTGGGCTAACACGTCTTCTGATACTAACAAATAAAGATTATCTTTTAGAATCTAACATTTCATAGGGGGGACTGATGTAGAATTATTAAAATCTTTATTAGAACCTGTATTGAATTATTGTACTAACTCCATTTTGTTCACCTTACATGACAGAATTTCCTGACAGTATTCAGTATAATGAATAGGAGATTGTATTTTCTCTCTCTAAGGACATAACTAGCCCCGGAGTTAGCGGATCTCCGTTGACTTGCAACATAGTATAATCCAAGGCCAGGAGAACAGTGACAAAATGAAATGTTCTATTCATAAAAGAACCTTGGACCAGAGCACGAGACTGACATCACTAACTATGTAAAATGATGCCCAAGCCCCCCCTTTCCACCGAGTAAGCCTCGTGCTAAAGAGCAATGACATCCCATGATGGGAGGGTGCCTCACTAGTCACTCAAATCTCTGAGCCAATTAATAATATTAATGGGTGGACACTGACATAGCCACTTAACATTTAACCCAATTAATAGTGTCTATTTGCTGTTATCTTGAATTCTTCAGTGATGTAATAATGCCTTTAAAAGGGTCTGCGCACCCATTTTCTGCCAGAAGCCATTAAACTTCTCCGAAGTTCTTTCATTAACCTGAACTTTGTGTCTCAGTGTGAATTTACTGCTGCGTGCACGCAACTTTATTATCTTTAATTTGGACAGGAACAGATAGTCATTCAAACTAATTGGTTTGCAGTAAATTATATACGACATCAGCATCCGGCTGATAGCCTGAGCGGGTCGTACTCGTAAATAACAAAAATTTGAGTTTACATCTGTGTCTGGATTCTTCTATGAGAGTGTGACACACTCAAAACATGTCTTCTGTGTCCCTCTCAGTATTGGGCTGAGGTTGAGGGAGGGCCGTTCCCTCTAATAAGGAATCAGTGTCCAGTTCCATATATGAGAGGGGTTCGCTCTCTACTCGCGTAAATAAAAATATCAGTCTCAAGCTGAGGCCATGGAGGGCTGCACCCTCTTGTAATCCAAACTAGAGTCCATATCCGACTCAGGGTGACCAACTGCGGGGTTCACCATTTAAGAATATCAGCGTACAACTGAGGACCGTATATGAGAGGGGTTCTCTCATATACAGAGAATATCAGTCTCAAGCTGAGGCGATGGAGGGCCGCACCCTCTTGTAATCCAAACAAGAGTCCATATCCGACTCAGGGTGAACAACTGCGGGGTTCACCATTTAATAATATCAGCGTACAACAGAGGCCCTGAGGGTGGTCCCTCTCTGAATCACTCACCTGAGAGGTGGACTCAACTGGTAATAACCAAACCGATGGTAGACGGAGTAGTAGACAAACTCGGGCCGTGCCCATCTTTAATAATAGAAGGGGTGATGCGAGAATGCAACCTCTGGAAACGATGATGGAGTCTACCAACGGACCGCCCGGATCCCGTGCACACGCCCGGGGTCTAGGATGACCGTCGGTAGTCTGAGGAAAGCTGGAGACATACTCCGCGATCCACGAGAGCCTGGGAGTTCGGAAGAGATCAAGTCAGGCCCCGAGCGATAGGAAATGGGAGGGCACGAAAACAAAGAAACAATAATAATGTAGGTAAAGGTAAATACGTACCTCGAATAGAAGGTAAATAGTAGACCAGAAAGCAGCTAAATGGCTAGTTGTTACAGACAAGGAAACACCGTGCTCCCCTGTTAGCGCCTGTTGGCGTCTGGTCACTGCATGTGCGAAAATTCTCCTTGGAGATGTGCCGTCGTTGGGCTGGCGTAAACCGTGGTTGTGTGCCCGCGAGCACACATGGGCGGAGGCAGTCGTGGCGAAGATCCGGCCGCCGGGTACTCGTGTACGCACACGAGTACCACCGCGACCGAAAAAAAACATATGGGACCGCCGGAGATGAACTCCGCGGTTCTGGGGTTCGGGGGGTCGAAGGAGGCAGCTGAAGCCAGCCTCCTGAAGCCCCCGAGCAGAACTTACACCACCAGGAAAAGACAAGGCTCTCCCACCTCCCCTATCCCCATCATGTCTCTCCCACCCCTGCCCCATCATTTGTCTCTCCCTCATCCCCACCATGTGTCTCTCCCACCCACCCCAACCTCTCCATGTGTCTCTCCACAGCCCCTCCATTTCTCTCTCCCCCATCTCCTGCATGTGTCTCATTTCCCCCAGCCACTCCATGGGTCTCATTCTTCCCCCTTAGCACCTCCATGTTTATTATTCAATGTCACATCCCTTTCATTTGTCTCTCCCACCTTCTCCAGGTTACTATTCCACACTCCTAGCTCCTCTATGTGTCTCTCTCAGCCCCTCAGCCCCTTCAGGCTGGACAAAAGTGGTAAGTGGTGTCCCTCAGGGTTCTGTTTTGGGACCACTTCTATTTAACATATTTATAAATGATCCTGAAATAGGCATTGAAGGCCATGTATCAGTGTTTGCAGATGACACAAAACTTTGTAAAGTAATAAAATATGAGCAGGATATTGCTTTGCTGCAGAGAGATTTGGATAGATTGGGGGACTGGGCACTAAAATGGCAGATGAAATTTAACATAGAGAAATGCAAAGTTATGCACTTCGGGGTTAAAAATGCACAAGCAACTTACACACTAAATGGTAGTGAATTACGGATAACCACACACGAGAAGGATTTGGGAATTGTTATAGACAACAAATTAGGCAGCAATATGCAATGTCAATCTACAGTTGCTAAGGCCAGTAAGATTTTGTCATGTATAAATAGGGGCATAAATTCTTGGGATGAAAATATAAGTCTGCCTCTTTATAAATCGCTGGTAAGACCACACCTTGAATATGCTGTGCAATTTTCGGCGCCTGTTCTAAAGAAGGATATCATGGCACTGGAGAGGGTCCAGAGACGAGCTACAAAATTGATAAAAGGAATGGAGCATTTTAGTTATGAAGAAAGGTTAAAAAAATTAAATCTGTTTAGTTTGGAAAAACGGCGCCTCAGAGGGGATATGATAACCTTACAAATATATTCGGGGCCAGTACAAACCTTTATCTGGAAATCTATTCATAAACAGGGCTATACATAGGACACGGGGTCACACATTTAGGCTGGAAGAAAGGAGATTTCATCTAAGGCAAAGAAAGGGTTTTTTTACAGTAAGAACAATAAGGATATGGAATTCTCTGCCTGAGGAGGTGGTTTTGTCAGAGTCCATACAGATGTTTAAACTGAAATTGGATAAATACTTACAAAAACATAACATACAGGGATATAATTTCTAATTAGTGGGGTAATAGCTGCTTGATCCAAGGAGACATCTGACTGCTATTTTGGGGTCAGGAAGGAATTATTTCCTAGTTTGTGGCAAAATTGGAAGCGCTTCAGACCAGGTTTTTTGCCTTCTTTTGGATCAACAGCAACAACATTTGTGAGGAAGTCTGAACTTGATGGACGCAAGTCTCTTTTCAGCTACGTGTCTTTCCCAGCCCATCCATGTGTCTCTCCCTCTCCCCCGAGGCCCTTTCCCTTTCGGCTCTATGTGTCTCTCCCACCCACCCTGCCCCACCATGTGTCTCTCCCACCCACTCCAGCCTCCATGTGTCTCTACCCCATCCCCTTCATGTGTATTTTCCCTCCCATGTCTCTCCCACCCACCCCAGCCCCTTCATGTGTCTCTTCCACACTCAGACCCTCCATATGTCTCTCCCTCCCCCTCCATATGTCTCTCCCACCCACTCCATATGTCTCTCCCACCCCTCAAGACCAGACCTTCTATGTGTCTCTACCACCAGGCTCCCATGTGTCTTTTCTGTCCTCCTAGCCCCCGCATGTGTCTCTCCCCATTGACCCTATGTGTCTCTCCCAGAAAAAAAAAATATTACCCTATAGTGGTAAAATAAGGGAAACAAGTAGTAATAAGTTACCCCTAAAAGGTAGTGTGACGATTCCTCTAGATCTTCAGAAATACAACCATGGGGGGCGTGGCTAACCGCCAAGCAAGATGGACGCTTGGTAATCTGCTCCGGCACATAGGCTCCACTAGAATTATATTATAAACAAGCTGAAATCCTAAAACTCACTGAGCGCATTATGGCAAACTCCAAAGCGAAGAAAGCAGCCACTAAAGCCGAAAGAATTCGCTTTTATGGACAGAAACAAGCTTCCACGGCAGACACCGCGCAGGCGGTTGCCCAAGACAGAGCAGACGATTCCGACCCCCCCAACCACACGCCAGCACAGCCAGAAGACTCCCAATTTACTGAACACCTCACACGAGGACACTTTGAAAAAGCCATGGAAGCAATGGCATCCAAGCTAATATGCACCTGGCAATCAACCGCAGAGCAAATTAAGAAGGAGGTGAGGGAGGGACCTGTCGACCAGAACCACCACGGTGGAACAACACTGCCAAGAACTCTCAACAGCACATGCAGACATGACAGGGCAAATGCAGGCCCTACAACTCAAAATAGAGAGTATGGAAACCCGCATGGCGGATTATGAAGACTGGTCACGCAGAAATAACCTGAGACTGTGTGGAATCCCTGAAACTGTTCTCCTAGACGACCTGCAGTCTTATATGAGGGGCCTTCTACATGCTTATGCCCCGGACATCCCGGCGGACATGCTCCCACTGGACAGGGTGCACCGAGTGGCAAAGCTGAATTTCCTACCTGACTCCACTCCTCGCGATGTCTTACTCGGGGCACACTACTACCACATCAAAGAACTGTTTCTCAAGGCGCATCGAAGCAAAGCGGACCCGCATGAGGAATACCCATCCATGCGCATCATGGCGAATGTCTCGGCAGCAACCGTGCGGTGCAGAAGGGACTTTAATCAAGTCACCACGGAACTCCGCAACCACGGAGTCCGCTACAGGTGGGGGTTCCCCATGAAAGTAATCCTAACCAGAAATGGAAAAACAACCTACTTCGCAACTCCCGAAGAGGAGAAGACAGCGTTAGCAAAATGGGGCCTATCTAACAAGCCTCCAGCGGCGAAACGTCCACCTCCCCAACGCCCAAACCACAACGCTACTATGGACTAATACTAAAAACCGACTGATCGAGGCATGATTTGTGCAATTATCATAACTGTATTGTGTATTGCTAGTTGTATAAACAGGTTAGCCACAACTTCTATCCCTACACATGGGCAAAGTATTACTAACCCAGCAACGGCTCTCTCCACTCACCAGTTCATATACCTTAAGTAATATGAGGACCCAGACTACCATCACACGCCACCCCCCCCACCCCCCCCAAAAGATAAAGAGAGCACTCTAAAACTATACCTGGGGACGCAAGGCGGGAGACCTACTGGTCGACCGGGACAGACCAGGCCTCAGAGGCCGAGACTCACATCAGGGCAAACCCCACGATCACCGCAACTAGCAGTGCAATATTTACCAGCACCCCGACAATGATAACTAGTGCCGATACACACTTAAGGAGGGCCACTACACCACAACCACAAGTGAAATAAGGGGAGAGAGGAGGCATGGGAGGCCTACTGACTGGGGACATGCAAAACCAGCTCCCATCTGATATGCTCGTATACAACACGGCGAGCTAATTAACCCCACAACAAGGGGACGCCTCAAACAAACTTCGGAGCCTCCAAATAACTCACCAAAACCAGACAGTGGGAAGAACAGCCGCCCCCAGACCCCAGGATCTAAAATAAGAAGGTGCACTCCCGACAGGGTGAGATTACATGATGTTGCTATAATGAGCTAGCTGATATAGCTAGATGCATGACCAGAGAATGCTAATACAGTTGCTTGCATGCCCATCACTGTTATGTTGTATGTTATGCCATAATGTCTTTAATATCTTAATAACTTAAACTTTACAGCTCATTAGTCTGTCTATGACAGGTTTCAGCTCTACCTATAGATTTAAAATGGAGCCCAACTAGCCACAGCTTGGAAGCTTCCATCCAAAGCCCCACGGTACAATTAGCGTACCAGACCACACGGTCTTTGTATATAACACCACAAACACAACCGATCCTACCCCTCTTTAGTTCTCCCCACCTCACCCCCACTTCCCCGCCAAAGCTGCAGAACCACAGACCTGCAGAACAGCCTGACACATAAACAAGGAACTGCCTCCACCACTCACGTTGCCATCAATATGATCATATATTCCCATAACACAAAAGGCCTCAACACGCCACATAAAAGGCGCATATTACTGGATGATCTAAAAAGAACCAAGGCAGACATAGTCTGCATACAAGAAACACACTTCGTCACCAACCGAATCCCCACATTCGCCACCAGAGAATACCCCACACAATACCATGCAACACACACATCCAAATCAAGAGGGGTCTCAATTCTGTTCCACAACTCCCTCACTATGGAATTACTCAGTATCCACAAAGACAGCCAGGGAAGATTTGTGACCCTACACTGCATAATCAACAACAACCCACTCATCCTAGTATGTCTCTATAATCAAGAAACAAAGTAGAAACACCTCCCAATACGTGGTAGTATAGGAAAAATACAAATAACCTGAAATATAGGTCGTGGTTCATTAATGGAATCTGTATGAAGAATTAAAAAGCTGACATAGTGTAATACAGTATTGAATTGGTGAGTGATATTTAATAGAAATAGGTACACTCTCAAACAAACATGAAATCAGGCTTCTCACCCTCCCAGGGGTAATAATTTGTTGAACAGAAGATCCTCCGTGGAATATATGCAAAATAAAGAACCAAATATAGTGAAGCATGTAATGAAATTACAAAATAGTATTTATTGGTCTCACTTACAAGTGAAGAAATATAGTAGGCATATCTCCATACAACATGGAACTCCCAAACGATGCAGAGGTAGATCCAATAGAGAAGACAAAATAATAGAAATATAAACTACATACAAAAATACAATATAAAATAAAATATAGCAGGGTATAAAAACTCAAAGAATATGTCCAACGCATTTCGTCCAGCAAATAGCCTGAATGAACAGCAACGCAATTTCCTACATAGGGTTCTTAAACTGCCAGGAGACTCGACCATCCCC